AATTTAATAAAATACCTATTTATTTAGATAATTTATAGTATTTTGTAAATACTAGATACATCATTAGGTAAATTTTATTTTTATTAAATCCAAAACGTACCAATATACTTATAAAAAAGTTTAGTAATTTGATTAAAATTAAAATATATACTTTTAAAGGAATACAATTTATAACAATGAATTATGTGGTACTCTTGTTCTATTAAAAATTATAATAGTGCCTATATCTTATTGAAATATATATATATTTATTTATAGATAATTAAATGAGTAAATAACATTAACTTTGAAATTGTGTATGGACGTACAAATTATTTTAAAAGATTTATGAGAAATTTAATTGTTTCACACATTAGTGTGCCTATTTGGCGTATGTGATAACTTTAATATTTGACCATCTATATTATAGTTTTTTCATAGTAATAAAGATATAAATTATATTATAAAAATCGATTATTCAAACAACTACAAAATAAATTAAATTTAAGATTCTGAGTGGAACGATGAATGTGTTGATTTTACAATGATGTGTGTTTTTTTTTTAATTTTTAATTTTTAAATTTTTAAATTTTTATTTTTGTATCTGTCTACACGATAAATAGTCGAAATAATTTTTCGACTATCAACTTTAGTACCTTGTTCGATTGGTAAATGAATATCGTTGGTGCATGGGGAGGTAAAAATTTAAAATTCCCAGTAATTTTTCAAAGCGCCAAGAAAAACAAAAGAAAAATTAAAGAAAAAATGGGAATTTTTAAGCAAAATCAATTTTCACAAAATTTAATTTGGTTTTTGGTGTAACTTTATAATAAATTACCGTACATACATGACATTTTCACTGGTCGTTTATATTTGCATTTTCTATACACGATAACATTTTCAAAATATTTTTGAATGTTTATTTTATCAATTCTTACACACCATACAATAAAAATATTTTGACTCTTTTTGAGCTGTTTACGGACAACTTCAAATATCAAATATAGTTTTTTTTTCTATAAATATCAATTAAGTTTTATCTGTTGGGCCAAAAAGTGTAAAAACTTAATACGAGGCTCCTGCTTTATTGTTACAACATCAGTTGAAAAATATTAAAAATACATAGGCACAATTTTTTCTATAAGCATTTAAAGATCAAATTTTGACAAAATTTATCAAATTTAAAAAAGAATAATTATTTTGTAGTTAAAAATGTTCAACTTTTATATCTTAGGATTGAAAATTTGTAAAAAGATTTCACGTAAGTAGTTAGTTCTAATTCTGTTACCAAAAAATCTAAAAATAAATAAGCACAGTTTATTTTTCTAGTCATTTTAAGTTCAAATTTGGACGAAATAACATATTAAAAACCTAGAATAACTATTTTAGTTATTTTGTTGTGATTGTATAATATTATTCGTGGGAACTTGAAACTTCTAAAGTACACTGTTATATATCTATGATAGTATCAGGGTTTGTCGTTGATTTATAACGCGTTATAGTAAATAATGGATATTGTGATATGATTAATTTGGAATTTATTATATTTACCCATTATAGGGCAATTTTTTTTAATACCATAGATAAGTATATAATACGTCTTATACCTAGACTGACATACCGTCTCCGCTCAGTTCAATCGTTTTCCTTATACAATGATATTATATCATTGAATTCAAAATTACTACCATCCATTATACAGTGACCCACTTGTAACCTACTGTACAGCAGAGCACTTTTTTGTATTAAATTAAATAAATGGATTAAAAAAATCATTGCTTGATATTTTTACTAATGCTATTGAACTTTTAAACAAGATAAACTATATGAAAATGTTTCTGAAGTACCTTAACGGCTTTCCCATTTACGTTTAAACAAAAACTATATAGTTTAGTAATTTAATTTAACTGAAATATGATAAAATCAAAAGAAATCATTGAAAGATTTGTCCTCAAAATGTAATAGGATGGTTATGCTTTTAAAAATGACTGCAATAAAAACCACAAGTTTTCGTTGGTTGGCGTGTTACTTTAGTGAAATAAAGAAATGTTTATAATATATATATATACCTCCTTGCAACGTTTGAAAAGAAATTTTTTCGCTAGTGGAATTAACTTTAAATTACGCATTTGATTTTTTCTTGTGTCGGATGCATAAAATACGCCGAAGAAAAGCGAATAGCAAGAATGAATGATAAAAAAAAAATGAACGTAGAAAGAAAAAACTGAATTCAACCTCTACGCTCCAAGGCATATCATCAGATAAAGCGGTTGGATAAAAAAAAGCAAAGAAAAAATTTCTCAACGTCCTATTTATTGGTTGAAATACGTTTTTTGTCTTTCATATTATCATTGTGTTACATACGTGAAAATATTATATCAGTGGAAAAAAAATACTAGGAAAAATCACCAAGGAAAAAAATAGAAATAAATAAGTCGATATTTTACCAATATACGTGATGCATAACAGAATGAATGAAAGCAGTATAGGGATAAGAACCAAAAATATGTTACAGAAGGAAAAATCGATTCGTTTCGTTGCTATAATCATAATTATATTACACATATAATATGAGATGATAAAAACAAAATTAGACGCCTACGTGTTGATCAGATAACAATATGTTAAACTGTTAAAATTAAAACCGTTTCTTTTCAAAAACCACTTAGATAATATTTATTTTTCCTTTACGCACGTACCTACCATCAAATTGATGTGTTATTTTCTTTAGTTCAGAATTCAACCAATATTTATAACATCAAATGCTATTAAAAATACTAGGGTGCAAAAATTGCAGTATCGATGTCGCTTATGTAGTTCGATAAAAATTGTTTAATCTGAATAGAACTTAAGTTCAGACTACCAGAGTGAAAAAAATTGAATTAGGTAACAATATGTGGATAAGAAATTCGTATAAATTAATTGAACTTACTAATCAGATTACACAAACAAATTCATTTTTGAAATACCTATAAAAAATTAGTGTAAACTAAGAAATATCAAAAATATGTCAAAATAAACTCGCCCGAAGGCCAAAGCATAAAAAAAAATAGAATAAAACTTGTAGCTCCTAAATATTATATAAATATAGTATAGATATAATTTAAAAAATCTTCCTACATTTCGTTGTATAATACGTTTAACACATAATCTAATATATTATAATAATAAATAAATTATATAAAACAATTTATTTATTTATTTATTCAAAGAATAGTTTAATTATGACCAACTTTGAATAAAACATTTGATTCTTATATGCATAGGCGCAAATAGGGGGGGGCTTAGGGGGTATTAGCACCCCCAATTTTAAAATTAGCACCATCTAATAAATATGTGTTTATGTATCAAAACTTCTCTTTACAACAAAAAAAAAACCAAAAACAGTTTATCATCAGACATGAGGGTATCAGAGTATAATGAATGAAACAATGAACTCGACAATATTGTCATTTTATCAAATTCAAATCTATTTAGAATATAAATCATTATTTTCCAATGTTTCTACTAAGCCCGGTCGTTGTGGTCGGTTATATTATTATCAGTGTTATCACGTTCAGCAGCGACTCAGCTATACGACAATTTATAGTATCGCGAGTATTTACTAATAGAAACATTCCCGTGCCCACATCTAATTCGGACAAAAACCTAATTACGATATACGAATAACTTGTCAGTTGGTGTTCACTGGAGTTCCAAGTTTCCGACAGCCTTTGTGATTGTGTATGCCGAATGATATAATATAGTAGGTACAGATATAACTGACTTTTGGAATAACTTTTGTTCTAATCAATATTTATAATGTTTTTTTTATAATTTTAACAATTTTTGTCACACATTTAAGTAGCTTTATTTTTTTTTTTTTTTTTTTGTCAAGTCTGTCTGTTACACACCTTGTACACTAATATTTATTTGTCATATTTTTTGAATAAAATATAAATAATTTGTTTTAAATTTTTAATAAATTAAAATTTACTATTGTATTAATTTTTATAAAATGTACCTAATGCACTATAACTTCAATGTTAAATTGTCATAAAACCATTTTTTCTCAAAAAAGTCATAAGTGCCTCATAGGTATAATTTAATTTAAATACCCAGGAAATGCAGAGCTTAAGCACCCTCAGTTTTTATGTTGAAATTGCGCCTATGCTTATATGAATAAGATTTAAGTAGGTACCTACTACCTAGTACCCAAGTGTATTATAGTTGATACTTTGGACAGGATACTGCAGTGATAGGGTCTTAAGAATTCTTGTACGTTAGGCATAGGTACAATTGTAAATAAAATAATATTTTTATTATAAATACATTCGAATGCAGTAGAATTATATATTATAAACGTATGCTACTGCAGGAGTTTGGATCAAATCGCAATTGTCGAGATTTGATCTTCGAGTGCCTTGGAGGATTACCAAGATAATCAAAAAATCTCTCTTCAACGATCTAACGAGACACGGTTTTTAATTGTCAGTGGTCATACGAAACTATTGCAAAGGCTCTAATTCCGGAAAAACAATTATGTGCAGAAAACAGAAAAGTTTTAGAACCAATATCTACTAATGTACCTACATACGTGACTGCAGTATACATTCATCAACCGAGTCTTGAAAGGTCAGATTTCATGAGGAATGAAAATAAATTCTACTTATGTATTTTTTGAGTTGTATAAGACATAGGTACGTCCGTCTGTTTGCAACATTGATTATTACAGTATTGAGTATTTGACATAAAAAAGCGGTTTGATCAAACAAATCATCGGGAACAATAAAAAGTGTTTTTAAATATGTATATGTTTAGTATATCTATTCATATTATATTTAGTATATTTATTATAATATACTCTGTGTCTTAAAACGGTACAAAATTGAATACAATATTTATGCTGCCAAGTAATTAAAAGGGAGACCTAATAGCAATTCGGTTTGTGCGGGGCATAGTTGTTAGAAAAATGTGGAATGAGCCGAGAAACAAAAGTTTGAAATAAAAAAAATAACAATAATAATCAAAAGATCGCTCACTTGTGCCGTTCGAATTCTTGCTCAAGATCTTCGCGTCGGAAGTATGTTCCGTCGGAGCGCCGACTGCAGGGGACGTGCCGCAACAGTTACCCCCGCCGTTACCACCATTGGTCGGCGGCGTGCCGGTAGACCGAACTTCGGCGCTTTCGTTGACTTCCATAAAAACCACAACGGCCGGTAAATAAACAGCGTTCCGTGCAGTTCGCGAGAACGCGATTTACGTCGACATTATATATGTTGAGCAGAAGAAAAACACAAAAATTATAATAGAGGAGAGAAAAAGTCACAAAAAAAAAAAAAAAAAAACAAATTAATAAAAAATCTTAACAAAGGACGTTAAATTTAACACAACCGCATACTCTACGATAATATAATAGCACAAAATGTTGTAAATAATTCGATGAGAAGTGTAGTAGAGCTTACGTGACGAGCTTTGAAATTTAATAATAATAGTATGATAAATGGTATATAATTTATTTTTATCGTCTAATAAAAAATATAAAATAGTGTCGATCGGCGGCGTAAGCGTCCGACGGTTAGCGGACCCGTGACGATTGCCGCATGGCGACTCCGGGATACTCGAGGGAAAACTCAAAACGCTCAGCATTGTGCCGCCGCCGCCACCGCCAGACGTCCGCGACGCCATCTGTTGGCTTGGCCCAAGGCGAAGGCGGAAAACGCCATCTCTTCACCCGCTCGGCCGGCAGCTGCAGTTGTACTGGCAGCCGCCGAGGGGTCTCCCCCGTCCGTAATATTATAATATCTACCGATGTCCTATAATTGCCTAATGCCTTATACTTCATTTACGGTATATCATAATAATATTATTATTGTATATACCTATAGGCTAAATAGCCTATTTAGGCATATCATAATGAAAACATACCAGTGGTTATCAACCATTATGTTTGAGTAGGCATGTCTTCGTAAGTGGGGGGGAGGGCTTTAAGTCATCGAAATAATCGATAGCGTCCCCTTTATAAAATATAGGTTTCAATTTAATAAATTATGTATAGACAACAAGCTAGATTGGATAATAAAATGTTTAACATAAAAAAATTGTTCTTTTGCAGTATAACTTAATATAAGCTATGTACTCCAATTACTCCAACTATGTGTACCGTATTATATAATAAGTATATAATAAGTATATCATTCAAAGGATATTGTTTACGGGTTTAGAATTCAAATTTATTTTATCTGCACTGGGTGCCTCATCTGCAGAATAGTAAAAGTACCTATAATTATATATGTGTAGTTATCATGATTTAAGTCATGTATGTGAGATGGAAAAACGTCTATAAATTAACGCCTATATAACGATGTATCTGCAGTACGCGTGTATATCAATAACAGTAACATTAACTATAGTATATAACTATAATAATAATAATAATAATAATAATAATAATAATAATGATAATTTATGATAATAATATTTGACAAATTTACACTGCAGAAATCATTTTTTTCAAACTCGAGTCAAATCTCACGCTCCCCCCCGGATATTTTGAACGCCCCCCTCCCATAGGTTGGGAAACACTGTTATAAACAATGGTAGGTGGGTTTAAAAAAAAATAAATATTTTTCCCTCCTCTATCATCACAACCGCACCGGGACGGGTGAAACGAAGTACGTCGGCATCGTATAAGAACGCCGCCGTGCAAATGGCAGGGGGACGGCTATTATATAATATATTTTATATATTATATTCATATACATATATATATTCGATCGTTGTTGGGTGAGCGGATGGGCGACGAGTGGTTGTGGGGAGGTTGTAGTCGTCGTATCCGTCTATCGTAGTCGTCGAGAAACCGGACTCGAACGGGCAGAGAAAAAAAAAATTAAATGAAAAAAAAAAAACCGTTTTGGAAAAAGAGACGGCGGCGGCGGGGAATTATATATCCTACGCGAAAACAAAAAAAAAAAAAAGGCCGAAAGCGGTTTTCGGCGCTGTGTGTAATAAAAATATAATATTAATTGAACGACGAGGGAATAGAAGACGGTGGAAAAAAAAATAATGATTAAAAAAAATTGTGGGCATAGAATGTCGTGATCCCGCGGGAGAAAACGTCTAAGAACAAAGGGTTGTGGAAAAAAATGGTCCGTTCGTGACTGCACACGCTGGTTGAGAATTATGACGTGTTCGTTATTATGTATTATTATACAGTGCAAACGGCGAAACGAAAAATTCTTCGCAACAGCGTCTTTTGTACGTATGTAAATTTACGCGCAATAGAACGGTTTTATTTTTTTTTCAAAATATTTTTATGTATATTTATTATTTGCAGTGGGCAAACACACAAGTACGCGCTTTATAGATAATCTGCAACAATGCATGCCGCCTGCGTTGGCAGCGTTTTTATTTTTACTTATCAAACATATAGTAGGTACTTATAAATAGTATTATAATAATTACCTATTATTATAACGTGTCACACAGGACGGGAATTAGTTTAAAAAACCATAATATACTGCAGGCTGAAACACCGGAAACAGTATTGAAGTCATTATTGTTCCGGAAATTTGTCTGACTTACAATTTTCACGTTTTGTACTACCTACCTATTTACTCTGGTCCTCGCAATATGGCATTTAATAAAATAATTATTTATCAACTGAGAATTTGTCTAGTAATAATACATATAATAACTGTCATACGGTGACGACTGATATTGTTGTAAGTCATAAGCTCATACGCCCGTAGGTTTATACAATATATTATTATATTGATTTGTAAATGTCTCGCATAGTGTTTATTTATCAGGGCTCGGATGTTGTTGCACTAAAAATGTTATAAAATTGATTGCATTATTGCTGTGAAAAAAACCCAAAATTGCACTTAAAAATTGCAATAAAAAAATATTTCGTACCAAAAAAATTAAAAAAATATATTGAAAAATTATTTTATGAAATGGATTAAGTCATTTTATTAAGTAATATTAAAAAGTTTTATTAGGTAGGTTTTAAACGAGTAGATAATAAAAAAGATTCAAATTCAAATTCTCGTCAGTTGTCATTAAAAATCTGGTAAATTGTCCGGTCTTCTTATTTTTTCAGAAACCTATAAATAATTTTATCAAAATTTAAAACTTTTTATTTAAACTATTTTTATTTTTTTTTTAAGTTACCGCCGACGACGACGGTCAAATAAGCCCGACATAACCATAGATTAAACCTGTATAATCTAACAAAAAAAAGTGAAAACACAAAAAAATACATAAAATTGTATTGAAAATGACGACAATCAACAAAATTGCAATAAATTTGAAAAAATATCAAAAATTGCAAAAAGTTGCACTTAAATTTTTATATATTAATTGGTACTCGATTGAAACAAATGTATAACCTACTTAGCAACGAATCCGAACAATAGAAAAAAAGTTGCAAATGCAACAACATCCGAGCCCTAGTTATTATCTTCCAACGGCGTCACCAACGAACAGTGATCGAACTACGGCGCTAGCGGCCCTGACGCCGAATACATTATGTCAAGCCGCGTACACACTTGTAACATTTTCTGTTACGCCGTAACGCCGTTTCACCAGTTGTCGGTAAATTTGGCCGCATCAAAGGATGTTACGCGCAAATGTTACAAGTGTGTACGCGGCGTCGCGGCTTTAGGACCGTTGTTTGCAATCAGGGACGACCAAGCAGGAGGTGATAGACACAGTGCAAAGTATGATAAAAAAAACATGGTATGATAAAAAAAACATGGTATGATGGCAAATTAATATGATACGCATTCCCCTTATACTGCCGACCATCATACAAATAGCTGCAGTATCTAGTTCACCGCTTTTCGTTGAATGTCAATACTTGTCATGACTAGTACATATTAGTACATACTAGTACATATTTTCCCACATTTTTGATTTTTTGATTTAAACTTCTCCAAAAGTTGAAATATGTAAATTTTTTAATTACTATTTTTAATATATCCTTTTTATGATTTTGGTGGGACAATATCAAAAATGTGGGAAAGTCGATCTCAAGTAGACTTGACGACAAATTCAAATCTGTTTTCAGAATTCGTATCGCTTCATTAGATTAATCGGTACGTTGGAAATAGAACACGTCTATACTCCTATGTTGCACGTGTGTTAGATAAAGACAGAACATCGCCGCTTCCAATCCCCTTAAGACACTGCCGACCGACCGGTATAAGCGTGTGTAGCGATGTGTGTAACTCGATTAGTAGTGGTCGCGTTTGCCAGGCAAGACTGATGAGTTATGTGTGTCGTGAGTGTGTATTGTGCAAATATGTGTGTAATTGTTAGTTAAAATAAAATGTTGACGATTAATTGTCCAGGATTTCCTCGTAACATAATAATATAATTCAAATATTTATCATAGTATAGTAATATAGACATTAGAATAAAATATACATCTGTATAGGGGTATTATATAAAAGGGGATGCGCGATGCCATTACTGCCTTTTTTTGTCTTTTGGTCCATCAATAAATGAAATAATGAAATCTATAAATTACCAAACAAATAGTTTAAATATGTGCTCACAATATAATAACTTGTACGGAGCGCAGACTGGCTATAGGCTGGTCCTATAGATGAATGACAATAAATAATAATATAATAATAACAATCACAGTGCGATTTGCGCACACAGCATAATAATATTATAAAAAAGTAGTGGCAATTCGCTCGAAAGTTTGAAGTAATGGATTAATAATAATGATAATAATATAGGCAGTGGAGGTTTGCCCCCACAAATTTACAAAACTAACGAATAGGCGATAATATTCGCAAGCAATATACAACTAATAAAATAAAATAAAGCAATTCGCATATTTATATGATAAAAATAACGGAGATTTACTCACGTACAAATCTAGTAGGTACTATTAGGGTACATAAATTAACAATGGTTATAAAATAATAGATGTGATCATAATAATGGTTATTGGTTGATTAATGGTCATAATTATAATAATTTTCAATTCACGGATTTTATCCAGATTTTCATCCATAAAAAAAGTATGCAACCTAGGGCGATCGCCCACTTCTCCACAATGTCCAATGGTCCCTTTTAATAATACGTGTGCCTGTTGGTGCCCGACAGGGAAAAGGGGTAGGTAATTAAGTATCCGTGGACAAGCACAAAAAAAGCCGTCCGCCGTGACACGAACATTATTTCGA